CATTTTCATGTAGTGTGTTTGTACATTTTTAGATACTCCACTTTCTTTTATTTTTCTTTTCCCCTTTTGTAGTTTCTTGAATTCAGTTTCTTGAAGAATAATAAGTAGTGATAACCTGCTAGCAATGATGAATAAGTTAGGAGGGTCTTCACCCAAAACTTAGTTTGGAGTGAAATATTGTCCCCAAGGTTGCACTTAAAGGCTAAAACTCTTTTGAGAATTGAAAGTCATTAATGAGTGTGTCAGTATGAAATTTTAGTTTAACCATGATGCAATTGCCCCATATATCTCAATCAGTTTTTTCAATGATTAATAAAAACATAGTATTGGCCTAACCACAAGTAAAAAAAAAAAAAAAAAAAAAATACAACAAGAGATTTTTATAAAATCACTTTACTTCATAGTTGAACTATTTCTTTAAAAAAAAGAAAAAAGAACTAGTTTAGAATTTAACTAGTATTAAATTTATTAAATACTAAAGAACTATTAAATAGAAATATAAAATTTTTTTTACTGATTATTAACTAAGAACTAATATTAAAAAAAAATTAATATTTATAAATTATTTATTAGAATATTGTATTTTTATCTTTGAAAGGATAAAAAGAGATAATAAGAGATGAGAACCACTTATTCAAAAATCTGATAAGATCTATAATCATAAAAGTATCTTAAAATTTTTTATAGAATTGATAATTCAAGTATAATATACTTATTTAAAAAGATATAAAACTTTTAAATATAAGTTAAGTCTTTATAAAGATTTTTATTTTAATATTAGTTTCAATTTATAATTTTATTATAAATAAGAATAATGAGTATTATTAGTAGTTTAGAAACTATTTTAAAGAATGAATTATATTAAAATTTTTGATAATAGTTTTTAATTTGTAATTTTTTTATAAATTATACATTAGAATTAAAAATTCTATTAACTAAAAAAAAACTTTTTATTTATCTTATTTTTTTTATATTGAGATAAATCTTTATTTATTTATTGTATATAAGCTAATAAGACTTATTTGAATTTCAAAAAGAGATAACTTCAATATTAAAAATTGATAAAAATATTTTATAATTTTTATTATAATTGAATGGATTTTTTTTGTACTTAATAATAGGATAGTTATATATTTTATATTTATTCATATTTATAAATAAGTGACCTATAATAGATTCTAGATTTTTATGAAGTCGAGAAAATATATTTGAATATGTGAGATGATCAATAGAAATTTGTTATATTTTAATTATTATTATGTTTTTATTATTCAATTATTGTATAAGAAATTTTATATTACTTCAAATTTAGAATCAAATTGAGATAGACAAAATCTTCAAACAAATTATAAAAAAGAAGTTTTATTAAAGCTCAAACAATAATTAGAAAGTAGTGAAGTTGTTTTCAAAAGAGTTTCTTATTATACAAATAACTTTGTATTGTTTTTTTAATAAGTAAAAAGGAAATAGTAGATTAGTTCTATTTTTTTTAAAACTTTTTTACTATTGGTAAAAAGGATAGTTATATGTCTTTATGATCACTAGAAGACAAGTTTTTTCATAAAAAAATATAAAAAGAGATAAAGAATTATAAAATAACTTTTGAGAATATTGTTTTCAACCGATTTATAATTAAAGAATCAGTGAAAAGAATGATTGGTATTGTTCAATAAAATTTCTAAATTATGGTTTCAATAATTAATAAATAAATTTCTCAAACAATTCAAAACTAGAAAATATTTTAATTAAGTAAATCTCTTTTGAGAAGAGATTGTTTATTTAAATAAGAATCTTTTAAAAAGTTTTGAATTATTATTATTTTTCAAAAATAATATACAGTAGTATATAGCAACAAACTATTGTTAATATTTTTAATAGATAGAAGATTCAATACGCAATCTATCAGAAAAGTAAAATATTATCTTTAAATTTGACTTAGAATATCTAGGTTAAACTTTATTTTGTTCAATCCAAACTAGTTTGGTAATGTAGTTACAGTAACTGTCATATGAAAGTCTATGAAGGTTTTTTCAACGGGATTTTTGCGGATTAAAGAATAAAGTTTATAAACAGTATTATTACCTATCAAATTAAAAATTTTTTTCTGTAATAAGGAGAATTTAGATTTATACTATATACGTATAAATTTTAACTAATTTGATTAGTAAAAAAAAGCTTGTGATGTCATGATTAGGTAGATTTTTAACTTTTTTAAATATACATTTAATAGATTAACGTGGTTTAAAAAAAAAAAAAAAAAAAAAAAATGTTCGCTTTACGAGCTGCACGAAACGCACTGACAAGAAATGTTCCAACGCGCGTTTTGCTCCCTGCTTATACCGCGTCTTCTTTCGGTATGCCCAAGAGATCTTTACGCAGCAGCAGAGAAAATTGCTCAGAGCAAGTCGAGGAGCTTACCGCAACAAGCCATACCATTATACGTGTTCCCACCAAAAAGTCGCGTAAAATAAAGAGAATTGAGGAGACTGCTATCGCTAGAGTTGCCGTATGTGCCATTATCGAAAATTTCAATCTTCGCTCAGTCGTCTCACTAACGACATATTTAGCGTCCTGCACCCTTCTGGGAAGCCAAAGCAATTGTTAACAAAGTGGTCACGACTCTCTCACTTAGTAACTACGAAAATAAATATCTGGTGATGGTTTTCTATCCTTTTGACTTCACATTTGGTAAGTAATTTGTCGACACGATTTGCATTACCATAATTATCTATCGAACGATCTATTTTTCTTGTCGGATGATATACAGTGTGTCCCACCGAATTGATTGCCTTCTCGTAAGTTTTATTTGCGTTTTCTCCTTGACAACATGACATAAACGACATCGAGGAAAATTCTGATACTTTTATTCGATGTTGATGGGACAGGGATCGGATCGATGAATTCCAAAAAATTAATACCGATGTGATTGGAATTTCGTGTGATTCTGAACATTGTCATCTTGCCTGGAGGTTAATTTCCGATACCTCGTAAATTTTGTTTTATGTCAACGATAAAATTTTAAAACGAGTCCCGTCCATATGCAAATATGTTAGTAAGGTCCCGCAGAAAGAGGGAGGAATCGAAAATATCAGGTACGTTCGAGCGACATTTCTTTGGGATAAACGATAGTCGAAATCATTTATCGTCTGGATCATAGAATTCCTTTGGGTAAGGAACCATTCAGTTCGCTTCAGTCATTCGAACCGAAAAGGTGATCGATCGTTCGTTCATGTTCTTGATTATTTATTTCTAGTTGCTGATTATACAAAGAAGATTACCGAAGATTATGGTATCTTTTTCGAAGAGAAAGGAATTCCTTTTAGGTACGTCTGACATCAAATTCGCGATACTATCGGCATAAATTCATACGCGCACGCAATACACAGGGGGACTGTCATCATCGACGACAAGGTAATTCAAGTTACACGTGTGAAGTGCGAAAGACAAGTGTCATTGTGATGAGCGGTTTCTCTCATCATGATCATATCTTCTTCTGACGTTTGAACCTTCGTTAGGGTGTTGTCCGCGTAATCAATATCAATGATACAGAAATAGGTGAAGGGATTTTTTTTTTTTTTTTTTTTTTAATTTTTCGTCGATTTTAAATTACTAACACACAAATCATAATAGGTCGTTCTGTTGATGAAGTCTTGCGCCTTGTTAAGGCCATTCAATTTACGAATAAACATGGCGAAGTATGTCCAGGTAATGTGACCGGTCTTCCTTACCTTCGAGAATGAATTCTTTGATTCTCACGTGATTAAATGCGTATCATCTTTAGCAAACTGGAAAGAAGGAGGTGCGACCATTGTTCCTGATGCCGAAGGGTCCAAAAAGTATTTCGCCTCACTTTAATCGGGGTGAATGATCGTTGTCATAGATGATCGTGTTGATCCTTTTTTCCGTTAAATTGGGGAACATCGTTCGCGATCAACGAATGTATCAATCATCTTTTAACCTCTTTTTTCGGTGCCAATGCTCAATAAATTTACACATCTTCATCAACACCGGATCTCCGGTTATCAGATCGTTTCTTTTAATATATTTATAAACTTCTAAAGCGTATCCCAGATCACCATGATCTACGCAACCTTGGATCATTATTTTGTAGATCGAAGGTGTAGGCTTAATTTTAAGTGTTGTCATTTCCAAGTAATATCTCTTCGCTTCCTTTAATTTACCAGCGTATGCGAAGCCCGATATTAAAGTTGCGAAATATTTGTGTGTAGGTCTCATCTTTAGACTTTTAACAATTCGAAAATTTTCTTTTGCTTCGTTAAATCTTTTTTGTTTGAAATCGACCGAAAGCATCAATCTATAAATGTCAATGTCAGGAACTACACCATGGCTTATCATTTCTTTATATGCGAGTTCAGCCCCAGCTAAATCTTCGATGTTTATTAATCCACCAATCAAGGTTTTGTAAGTATGTACATTGGGTTTAATTCCATAATTACCGAAATTACTTATTATGCTCTTGACGCTCGCTACATCTCTTCTCGCGAAGAACCTCGACAGAAAAGTTGTCAGAGTGACCACGTCAGGTTGCACATTCATTTCCTTCATGTCCTTTATAACCTCCATTGCCAAGTTGTCGTATCTATAATACAATAACCCACGCACTAAAATATTATATGTTGACAAATTTGGTCGAACTCCATCTTCCTTCATTCCTCTAAAAATTTTCAACGCCATATCTACTTTATGATTCCAAAACAATCCATTGATCATTGTATTGTATGACCGCTCATCCAAAGGTATCTTTTCCTCCTTCATCTGTTGAAACAGTGCAATCGCTTTTTGCTCTCTCTTGGCCCTCAGATAGGCATCGATCACTGAACAATAGAGAATTGAATCAAGTTTAATATCATCCCTTTCTCTGATCTTATGCCACAACATTTCCACATTATAAATTCTGCCGTTACTCGAAAACGCGTCAATCATTTGACCGTAGATCGTCGCCGTCGGCTTGAACCCCTTCTTCATCATGTCATTCCATACGCGCATGGAAAATCTGTACTTTTGATTTCTAATGAACCCAGATATGAATGCACCATAGGTGTGTTCGTTGGGCTCCACACCCTTTTCAATGATTTTATGGTATAACGAGAACGCTCGATTATTATTTCTCAGTTCGATCAATCGCTTTACGTGAGTCGCGAATTGTTCGGAATTTGGTTTGAGACGTTTGATCATTTGTTGATCCAGCAGGTTTTTGGCCGCGATCGTTTCTCCGAGTGTCAGGTATTCGCGTATGCAATGCAGAATTCCATCCGGCTTAAAGTGTCCCAGGCGAACGTTATCCAGTAACTTACTCGCACCTTCCATGTTACCGCACTTGATGTAAGCCGCGACAACATAAACGAGATTTCTGGGTAGAATGTCAATTTCTTCTTCGCTGTATACTTTGATGATTTCTCTCATGTTATTTGTTCTCAGGTAATCCTTGAGTGACTCTTGCTTATAATATTCAATGGTTCGCGAAATTTGATTTAAATCCATTTCTCCTTTTTTTTTCAAGGCTCGAGTCAAATCTTCACGTATTATCCTGTCTGCCTCCAAGTATTCCCTCGACTCCAAGGTTACGAGGCCTCCCTTGAATTCAAGGGCCTTTTCGAGACTGTTGCAACAGCCATTGTTACGTAAAAATTTTTCGGCTGCCACAAAGTCCTTCTCTTGAATTCTCTTTTCAAATTTCGAATGTAACTCCGAAAAATTCCTGCGGCCAAATTCTGCAAGCGTGGCCATTTTGGGGAGGAACCTCGCCTGCGTGGTCGAAACCGAGCTTGTTAAAGGGATGGTTGTAACCATATTCCTCCCACGGTGATCACAAGCATGAAGACTACTCCTTCTAAATACGGATCCCTCAAGATAATGTAATCGATTTTTTTTTGCACACATTCTTTGCACAATGTGTTTCGCGCTCATGGTCAAGTGTGCGTGTGTGCACACGTATTCACTGCGCGATGTACCATCATATTGATTCTTTATCCAACCAATCAGAGCTAGGTGAGCCACAATCAAGATAATTTGTTAAATCGACCCTTAGTAGACAGAGTACGTGTATTCATTCATAACTTTTAAGAGACGTGTTAATTTTTGCAACTAATTTAGTCCCCTTTTTTGCTCACTATTTAACCCATTCCCACTTACCAATGGTCGAAGAACAAAGGCTGTCTCGAGACTCTATATTTGACTATGAAGACGACGAGCAGGCTTTTCGTTCCCCCATGCCCCTTCACATTTCGAATTCGTCCCGGAACTCTTTATTCCCTCCGCGCAAAAGAATAGCTTCGACCCGTTCTGCCTTTTCACTTCCGGACTTTGGTACATCGCCTTCCCACGTTCAGCATGAAATGTCGAACGGAATCGAAACCATCATTGGAAATCACCTTTTAACTCGAAATCCCAATCTTTTTGATTACGAAAGCGTTCCATATATCACTGACATAAATGACGCACCGTGTCATCCTGTTTTGAGCCCGAACAGGTTCCCTCTAGCAGAGACACCTTTCCCTTCGCCGTCGCGAACTGCATATCGGAGCATGAACACTTCCCAACTAGGTTCCGCAAAAACTTCTGGGAAATTTTTGGGTGAAGGGATAGCCCACCGTTCAAGTGAGAGCTGCTGGTACGACACCCCGGGTAACCGTCGATTTCAATTTTCGCATGCATCACCGCGTCCCGGACCGAGTTTCATGACCCCATCATCGCACATCACTTCACCCGAACTTTACCGTCCGACTCCAAAGAGGTCTTACATGGAAAGCACATCAGCACAATTCTCTCCCATTGAAAGTTCACAGAATGCACCGCATATTTTTTCAAATGATAAATTCGCGTCAAGAAGTGTGAATTCGATCAACTTGTTAGAGGCAGAAGGTCCGATGAATAGGGTGCAGGCACCG